TTGAGCTTTTCAAAGTTTCAGGGTTCTCTACATGAATGCATAGCATCAATTAGTGATATTATTAATGGGTGTTTTGCCACGTACTGGAGTAGATGGCTTTTCTATAGATTGGGAGTTACAGATGCAAGCCTCATCCTAATAAAATCCCTGTTAACCATGTCATAGTATTCAGATGTCACATAGTTCCAGTCGACTTCATTCAAACCAAACAAAGTATAAAGTGCTCTTCATTCATTGGCCACTCTTACCTTTTAAGCGCCTGAATTTTGCTGCCCAGATTTTGTTGTAACTTTTTGCCTGTTTTTAGGAATTTTTTTCATATTTTTTCATAATTTTAAACCAAATGCACATAATTTTTTATTGGCTGCAGGTCTTGTTCAAAATTTTGGTAAAATGTCCAAAAAAAAAATATACATGTTTTATTTTATGATTGGTGATAAAAGTTTGGTACTTAAAGGGTCAAAAGTTAAACCCAACATTAATAAATCTTCAGAAGCTTGACACTGCACACATTGCATGGCATTTTCAATTAACCAATCAAATTACATGTGATGCTATGTATTCATGATAGTTGTCTTAGAGATTTCTGAAAAGGACAAAGATTTTATATAGGTTACGTTTTTATCTCAAAATCTATTTGTGATTATGAATGTTTATCTTAAATGCTCAAACCCACCCTCCCTACATCAACATGCATGCATCATATATATATATCACTGACACACACACAAACATAACACATATAAACTAACTCGCTATCTTGTTGCCGATTTTCGACTTAACACAAAGAGAAAGTGTTTTTCACTGCTTCCTAACAGATATGTATGTTTTGTAATATGTTGAATTATTATAAGTACTTGCAAATAGCAACATGATATACAAGCGATAAACTCATAAAAAAAGAAATACACATTTTTACGCGATCTACATTCCAAATTACAACACCATGCATGGCAAACAAATATATTTCTTGTTATTCACAACAACACTATTATTTTTGGTTGAAAACTGTTCTGGCACTAAAATCATTGGGTATGTTTGGTTTTACAATTAAGTGGGATGATTCAGTACAGAGGTGAAGCAGCAGTAGCTAGAAAGTTATAAACATGCCGATTTTGAGCATTCTGGGTGGCATTAAATGGCAAAGTTTTGACACAACTTGTTCTTGACTAATTACTGTAGAACATCTGAAACAGGTCACTGCTTTGAAAATCGAATATGTTAATTATTTGAGCATGGTCATGACATGAGCATGACACTGAGTTTATTTTAAGAGATAAAATGTTTTTCAAAATATTCCATTGTCGACAAGTTTGTCAGTTTTTCATTTTGTACAGCCTCAGTGTAACGCTAAGCATGAATTGATAAATCCTATCATTGCAATAATGTGGCTGTATCATATACTATTAGAAAGATTCTTCAGCTTAAAAACAAAGTAAATATTGAAATCAACACTAGAGAGTGCCATTTATCTTTAGAATGCATGCTGAACTGTTTGACCTCTCACACAGTTGTTAAATACAGTACAGTTTCCATGGAAACAAGTATGATAATCACTGTTATTACCATGCTCATAGGCGTTTCGTTCTCTGATTTGAAATAACACTAAAAGACAAAAACAGTTGTCAAATATCTGGCTTCATTAACATGCATGTTAATATATTGTTTGTGAATACATTATTGTTTCTGAATATATACACTTGTTGTCATGATAACAGGTACAGCCTGATGTTGAGGATTTAGATGCTGGTGTTGAGGATCAGGAAGATACAGATTCTGTGAAATCAGAACTGAAGTTAGGAAAACTTCAGTTCTCATTAGACTATGACTTTCAAGAAGGAAAGGTGAGAATATCAGGAAACTTAAGTGGCCTAAAGTGGGTTGTCACATGGGGGAACTCCATAGTCACAAATTGAAATTTTGAACTACCTAACTACCTGAAATGCATGTTTCCCAATGAATCATGTACTAAAATTGTTTTTATCTTTAAAATGAAACTATGTACATTGTAGTTCTCCCATGGTGCATAGTGGTTCTCCCATGGTGCACTGTGGTTTTCCCATGGTGCATTGTGGTACTTTGCATGCATTGTTTATTTCACTTATACGAACAATGGAAAGATTGCTTTTCTACTTGACATTTTCTCCACCAGACTTCCTCATTCCTTTCTGCACACGTTTTTTCTTATAATTCTTCTATATTTCTGGAAATGAACCCTATTTTTGAAGTAAATAGACAAAATTGAAGTCAATTTTCAGTGTTTACTCAAAAAAAAATGGCTATTTGTGGCCAAATCATCTGAAGAAAAGTGCAGACTATAAACAGGATTATTTTGTGAATTTGTGATGAAAAGCGAGAACTGACAAATTTATTCCAACTAGTATTGATCATTCATCTTTCGCAACTGGATGTTGTCCACCTAATGAACGAGATATGCTTCACATGGTCATTATAATTTCCATAATTTAATGTTACAAGACAAAACTCCGCAAAGGTCACTGACATTCTATGTCAGATGACCCCAGTGATATTTTCCTTGCCATAGAATTACATGATTTCCATTGACTTGGCAAAATGTTGTCTCACAAAATTAGACGATTGACAATGTTGACAATATTGTGTACAAACTGACATGCTATTTCTTTGTTTGTAGTTGAATGTTGGAGTGATACAGGCAGCTGATTTGCCTGGTATGGATTTCTCTGGCACTTCAGATCCATACGTCAAGGTATACCTTCTACCAGAGAAGAAGAAGAAATTTGAGACTAAAGTGCATAGAAAGACTTTAAACCCAGTCTTCAATGAGACATTTACATTCAAGGTATGATAACCTACATTGATTATTTTTACGTAAAGCAGAATAAGGTGAGCTACCATTACTATTAGACATGTATTTGCCATGCATCAAAGAGCTTCCAGAATGTAACTTGAAAAAAACAGGCATACCATGAGCAGATAAAATACAAACTTCCACGGATTATATTATTTGAAGAAAAAACTAAGGAAAAATGACCCAATCAGTCAAAATTCAGCAAATACACAAAAAATTGGATAATATTTTACACAAAATGATATAAACTTCTGGAAAGATAAATTACTAGATCTTCCTAATTTGAGAACATATAGTAAATTAAAAACAACATGTGTTATGGGAGAGTACCTAAGTGTTCTTGATCTAAAACAGAATTTCTTGATCCATAACAAGTACCCATAACCTGGCAATAGAAAAGAGGAGTCATAAAACTCAGACTAAAACACTAAAAAGAACATAGGATCTGCAGTCACTGCTCTCCAACATATAAAGACACTTTCTTATAATATGCCCTAAATACTGAAACAATCAAACTGATATGTTTTTTAAACCTAATATTTCCATCTGAGATCACAATAGTTTTTCATGAGCATGTCAGTAAAAATAATGTTCTTCTGTAACTTAATTTGCGAGATTTCAGTGTGTTCGTGATTCATGTGTTCATGAGTGTGCAGATTGCCATATCATTAAAACAGTAAGGGTGATATTGTTCATGATCATTTGTGTTTGCAAAAGCTTTCTGGCTCTGTTTTATTTATGCAATTTTCAAAGATATGTTTCATTCCTATACTTTTTTCATCTGTCTTATCGATTCTGTTCTGAATGTGACATCTTAAAAATAGTACTAAATTTGAGACTTGTATTTGTTATTGATGTTGTATAGGTGCCATACAGTGACATTGGAGGCAAGACTCTGACCTTTGCAATCTTTGATTTTGATCGTTTCTCTCGCCATGACGTGATTGGTGAAGTGAAAGTTCCTCTAAATACTATTGATCTGGGACGTGTAATCGAAGAATGGCGTGATCTACAGAGTGCAGAGGTTCCAGGTGGCGAGGTACAATATATATTTATTTTTTGTCAAGCTTACAATTTGTATGTATATCCTCAGGGCAGAGCTACGTCACAAGACGTTCCACATTGCTAAGACGTGCACCACTGTACCATGAATTTCTATGTGCTCTGTGCGCGCTGCTGTGGAATGCCGGTCGAGCCGGTGAAAGTTCAAGAAAACAACACAAACTCAACTTGAAGTGATCCCGAACAACCAAATTTATATATGTTACACACATATCTTGTTCAGGGGAGTCTCAACAACCATCCAAAAAAGTATCGTTTTTCTGTGAGTTTTTGGCCTTCGTTTTTATCGCTAAGGTTGCCAGGCGGTGAAAATGCCTGGATATCCCGCCCAAGGATACAACTTTTTTACACATATATACATCTGATCAGTGTCCCTCCACAGC